AGAGTGAAAGTTAGAATAAAGGAGAGTGAAATGGGGAAGAAATATATCCTCTGACAAAAATGAGATCCCCAAAGTTAATGTGCCCGAGATGTTCTTATTTATTCTTTAATACAACATGAGTAATTGTAAATGATTTATTTTAAAAGACTTGCCTATGTTAATTTATTGCTTATAGAGTATACATCATTCCCTTGGAACACCTTGTAGTGGGTTATGCCCACATTCTGGCTCTCTCGAGAGAGAACGGAAAGTTTTAGTCACTGGCTTGAGTAAGAATTAAACTGCAGATGACAAAGTATTCTCTCTGTTGTAGTTTTGACAGTCACTTTCTAGTATGAATGTTCCAACAACAAGAGGAGCAAGATAATTTGTTTCTTTTGGGGTATTTACTCTCACCTCCAGTTCTGCCATTCCACTACTAGTTCTAGATCTGTTTGGGAGAGTGGCAGCCTGAAGTGAATACATTCAGCAACAGAAAATGGTAAACTGTTTGAATGGGGAGGGCCCTGAGAGATCCACAGTATCTACAGATTACTAGTCCCCAAAGGAAGGAGGATTTGCATAAAGTTATAAAGCTGATAGAAAAGAGTGAGACTGAAATGCAGGTATCTGGACACCCCCACCTGTGCTCTTGTCATTATGCTATAGGGCTTCTTAGCCCCTGGGCACCTAGAAAAAGAAATGCCTTCACTTACTTGATGATGTTTACTGCCAGGCTTCTGATGGAGGCCAGGTGGATGTAGCAGGTGGGGGCAGTTGTGCACCATGCTGTACAAAACAGGAGTAGTCCCTACCAATCTGGAGGGGATAGAGCTATTAAATAAAAAAACTCACAAATACATATATAAATGTTAGCTGTGAGAAGTGATCTGAAGGCAACACAGGGTGCCATAAGCACTTGGAACCAGGAGACCTAGGGGTTTGGGGAAGATATCCCCAAGAGAGTGATGGGAGTTGTGATAGGGACCAAAGGATGGCGGAGCTGATAGAGAGTGGGGTAGGTAGAGGGAAGGGGGATGGCACAGGGGCAATGTTCCAGGTAAAGAATAATTGCTGGACCTGAGACTGGGACTCCTTCTGGGGAGGAGTTTGGTATATTTAAGAAGCTGAAAGAAATTCAAGTGGCGGGGAGGGGAGAGGAGGGCCGAAAAGAGGAGGTGGGGGTGGGGTGGGGAGAGAAGCAGGAAGGGGGATTGGCAAGCTTTTACCTAACTGGCACAGTGTAAGGGTATGTGGCACACCTTCTGGGTGAAGGGCTCAACTACAACTTGGACGTTGTCTAATAAATCCAAACAATGTAACCTCATTATTTATACCTTCATATTAATCCAAAATAAGAAAAAATGAAACAAAAAAGCTGAAAGAAAGCCTGGTGTGGCTGGCATACAGGCACTGGGCGGTGGAGGAGGCTGGGATGGGAGACCCCTGCAATACACAGCAGGACATTTGCTTTTTATTTCGAGAGCCAAAGAAATCTTAAGCGGGATCTGCCCTGATCAGATTTGCATTGGAAAAGATCTGTCTGGCTGCTGTAGTTATTAGGACACTCTGAAGGTTCTTGGGCTCCAGGAGAACAATCACAGTAGCTTGGGCCAGTGTGGCAGGGATGGAGATGAGGGAGTAGGCAAATAGGAGAGAAGACACCCCCTCTCCACCCATCATGGCTAGCTGATATTTTGTCATGTGCATAGAAAGTGGGATTAGATACCTGGATAGGGAGTCCAGTCAAGGAACCTCACGAATCATGACTGCCCGGGGCAGCCTCCTTCCTTTCCCACTCAAAGATGCCTCAGAGCCTGATCCTACTATGCCATATAACAGTTTCTTTCTTCTGAAGCTCTCAAAAGTGTTTTGCAAAGATGCATCAACAAAGAAGATGATATTAAGAGACTTGAAAAAGTCACTGATTTTACTCTAATTACACACCTGGTTGTGGGCATGAGATGATTGGTGGTGGTAATTTCATCCAAAGTAAATAAGACCCAAAGATAAGAATGGTTTGGGAAAATGGTCGCAGTCCCTTTTTTGGCTGTGTTGGGGAATAGCCCCCTTAACCTTGAAATACCTTCACTTTGGACCTGCTCAGAGTATAAATTTTTGCTGTGTGTTCAGACTTTAATATAATTTTTTCTGTAAGTCAGTTGGTAGGTGTATATTATATACTTCCTATAATATAATACCTATGGTTATTAGGCGTTTGCAATGTGCCAGGTACTGCTCGAAGCCTTTTGTACATGGCAGTGATGAGGGGAGGAAGGAACCATCTACAGAAGGTGAGGCTGAAGCTGAGAGGCACAGCCCGACTGCTCAGCAGTACCTGAGCCACCACGCTGTGCTTTAAACCACCATGTTACACTGCATGCTAACCTTGTCCTCTCAGTGTCCAGCACTCTGCTGTGTGCTGTGAAGATAAATGCATTGCCAGGCATTATAACTAATATTCACCAGACTTAGGAAGATCTCTTGCAAGGCTGAAGAATTTCTTTTCTAACCTCTCACCACTTCTCCTTCCTCCATGTCACCCCAAATCCTGCCATCACTTGGAAATTCTGCTTGTGATAGCAGACCCCATCCATCACTGCTTCAAGCCCCTCAGCTCTCTCCATCCCAGCTCTCTTTCTTCTTCCTCTCTCTGGCTCTGTCTGTCTCTGTCACACACACACACACACACACACACACACACTCATCTATGAGTGGGAGACCCTTTTTCTAATCTCACCCTAGCAGTGGTGTTTGTGGTGTCTTGAGGGGAAGGGGAAAGAAAAAACTTTAGGTCTCCACTTATACTGCCACACCAACCTGGTGGTTCACTGTGACGTAGCCATGTATTTTGGGAAAGAGGTGTCTTTTTTTATATTTAAGATATTTATTGAACACCTATTATATGCAAAATGCTGGTTAGACACTTGTTTGTTTTATTGTTGGGGAATCATTGGGGGTACAGTGAGCCAGGTTACACTGCTTGCCTTCGCTGGGTGAAGTTGCTTTGTGGGAAAGGGGTGTCTCTATAGGCTGTGGCTAAGGCAGGAATCGGGCAGAGAGTGCTGGGGTCCTTGGGGTAAATGGGAAAGGCCTGAGGGGGCCCCACACTCACCTGGATCTCCATAGTACCTGAGATCCTGTGTTGTGTAAGCAAGCACACTCTTGCTTACTCTGGGTAACTCCTCATTCTAAACTTGAGTGAAGGTTGGGGCATCTCTGGGGAGTCTAGCTCCTGAGAGGAATTTTGGAGAAAAGTGTGCTCTGGGGACAGGCTGGATATCTTCACTGAACTTGGAGGCAATTCCAAAGCCTGGTCACTTCTTAGAAAGAGCAATCCCCTCACAGGACTGGGCACAAAAAAGGGGATGGGTCAGTCCCAACGTCTGTCTTCCCTTCAAATTCATACTGATGCCTCAAAAGTCTGGACCTATCTATTTTTCAGCCTTCTAAGTTCCTTTTGGTCACCTTGTAGGCACTTCTGGTCACTGAGGTGGGACACAGCCTGATGGCCACTTCTTCATCAGCAGGAAGATTGTTCCATGACAGGTCTGATCTCCATGTCATCGACCTCTCGACTGGGAAAGGAGAGTCACAGGAAGAGCTTGTCAGAATCCCCAACTCTGATGCTTGCTACACTCACCTCTGGTGTGAAAGGCCAGTATCTGACTTTCAGTGACTTCCAGTATTAGGTTGAATAGAAGCAGCAGGAGTGAGATCCTTGTCTTGTTCCTGCTCTTAGAGGAAAAGCTTTCAACTTTTTGCCATTAAGTGTTATGTTAGCTGTGAGCTTGTCCTATATGGCCTTTGTTATGTCCAATATTTTCCTTCAATACTTAATTTGTTGACAGTTTTTATCATTAAAGGATGTTGAATTTTGTTAAGTGCTTTCTCTACACCTATTGTGATGATCATTGATCATTTTTTATTCTTTTTTAATGTGGTGTACCATGTTTATTGATTTGTGTATGTTGAACTATCTTTGCATCCCAAGGATAAATCCCACTGAATTATGGTGTATGATCCTTTTCATGTGCTGTTGAATTCAGTTTGTTAATTTTTCAATGAAGATTTTTGCATCTGTGTTCATCAGAGATATTGGGTATAATTTTCTTTTTTCTTTCTTTCCTTTTTTTTAAGATTTTTATTTTTATTATTATTATTTTTGAGACAGAGTCTCACTATGTCACCCTTGGTAGAGTACCATGAAGTCACAGCTCATGGCAACCTCCAACTCTTGGGCTTAAGCGATTCTCTTGCCTCTACCTCCCAAGTAGCTGGGACTACAGGTGCCTGCCACAACGCCTGGCTATTTTTTGTTGCAGTTGTCATTGTTTTAGCTGGCCCGGGCTGGGTTCAAACCTGCCAGCCTTGGTGTATGTGGCTGGCGCTGTAACCACTGTGCTACGGGCATCAAGCCGGGTATGATTTTCTTTTCTTGTAGTGTTCTGTCTGGTTTGGGTAGAAGAGTAACACTGGCCTCATAAAATGAGTTTGAAAGTGTTTCTTCTTTCTCAGTTTTTTGAAAGACTTTAAGGATTGTTATTAATTCTTCTTTAAATGTTCAATAGTTTTCACTGGTGAAGACTTTGGTTTGGGTTTTCTGTAGTTGGGAGATTTTAGATTACTAATGGCATCTCCTTGCTTGCTATCAGTCTATTCAGATTTCTGTTTCTTTGTGATCATGATTCAGTCTTGGTAAATTGTATATTTCTTGAAATTTATCCATTCTTTCTAGGTTATTCAGTTTATTGTATATACCCGTTATTCCAGTGGTCTCTTAATGCTTTTTTAAAATTTATTTAAGTCTTCTTGCTTGTTTTCATAGTCTAGCTAACAGCTTATCAATTTCATCTTTTCAAAAAATGAACTCTAAGTTTAGTTGATCTTTTCTGTTATTTTTCTAGTCTGTTTCATTTTTTTTCCCTGCTCTGATCTTTGTTATTTCCTTCCTTCTGCTAATTTTGGGCTTAGTTTGTTTTATTCTAATTTCTTTCTTTTTTTTTTTTTTCACAGTGACGTGACCAGTTGGCATTTATTAGTGTAGTTACAATTTGTCACTGTGGGAAAAGTAGTAGAGGAACCAAGGCTCTTTGTTACCACAAAGAAATAAATAAAGCTTATGTTTTAGGAACATTCTAACTTAGTAAATGACATCTAGCAGGAGCATTAGAAGAGCCCAGCCTTGTGTGACAGATGAAACTGGGGTAGAAGTCAAGATAAATTCTACCTAATGGAGCTCACATTTACCACCCTTGCCTCCGGTTCCTGGCCAGAGCTGATCATGGTGCAAAATAAAAGGAAAACTATTGGAAAGGGAGATAAAACACTGAGAAAATGTGGACTTAGATCTACTGAGGGGGGGTGAGCTGACCATGATCAGATAATCTGTTCCCCTCACTCCCGGGAGGCTTAGACGGCAGCTTCCTCAGACCGCTTCCGAGTGATGTGCTCCAGGTGGGCATGGTCGGAGGTATCCAAGTCAATCTCGTACTTGGCCAGGATTTTAAGGATGGGCCTCAGCTTCAGCCACCATTGTTCCTTGGGGATTCGATGCTCAAAATCAGTCTGGTCCTTCAGCTCAGTCACTGGTTGGAAGAGCAGGGTCCTCTTACGCTTCCCCAGAACACAGCCTGAGTCTGGAGTATTGGCGAAGATCCGCCCATTGCGGTAACTCTCTTTGATTTTCCCAGACATCCAGTTCATAGCTTTGGCACCCATCTTAGTGGCAAAATTCCTGTCAAATGGAGTTGGACTCCCACCCTGCTGCATGTGACTGAGCACATTCTTCCTGCTGTCGAAGATGCCCTTCCCTTCCTCCGAGTACAGGTTGAAGATGAAGTCAGTGGTGTAGTTCTCATTGCACTTTTCATTCCTTAACACCAAGTCCCTTTTCACAGTTGTTTTCATCTTTTGCACCAGATGTTCAACATTTGCCTGCAGGTCTCGAATGGTGAAGGGCTCCTCAAAAATGTAGGCGGCATCAGCCCCAGCTGCCAGTCCTGCCACGGTGGCCAGGTAGCCACAGTAGCCACCCATAGTCTCAATGATAAACACCCGATGCTTGGTGCCTGCTGCTGACTGCTTGATGCGGTCACAGGTCGTGCAGATGGTATTGAGTGCTGTGTCGGCCCCAATGCTGAAGTCTGAGCCAGGGACGTTGTTGGAGACAGTAGCAGGAATGACCACAAATGGGATGCAGAGCTCATCAAACTGCTTCCTGCCCTCCATCAGCTCCAGGCCCCCCGTGTAAGCTTCAAAGCCCCCAATGATGACAAGGCCCTGGATGTTAAACTTCGTTATGTTGGCACTGATCTGTTCCAAGTGCTTCTTGGGTAGAGTTCTTTTAGTCCCAAGTTTAGAACCTCCTTGACCAGTCCAGCCCCCAACATAGCTCCAGCCAGCTTCCTCAATCTGACCCTTGGCCAGGCCCTCGAAGCCATCATGTACAACCAGCACTTGGTTGCCCTGGACGAGGCCGATCCTCACAGTGGAGCGAACAGCAGCATTCATGCCTGCAGCTGGGGCCCCCACATTCATCACGGCCACTGTGTGCAAAGCGCTCTTAGATACTGGGGGTCTGACATGGGCTAGAACTTATACACCTCCCAGTTGTTCATGAAGCTCCGGCCTCTCAGCTTCATGGCTTCATCAAATTTCTTGTCCTCCATGGCCTTGGTCACGTCTTTGGTCACCTGGACACACTCCATGAGGGGCAGGTGCACGGCTTGGTTACCAGACAGGCTCACTACACAGGCTGGAGTATCTGGGGTCCCCTCCAAAAGTGCCATCACTGCTTCCACGCCCATCCTGCTGCCCAGGATTCAGTCAAAGGCTGATGGTGTCCCTCCCCACTGTACATGCCCCAAGACGGTGACCCAGGTGTCATATCCCAGACGCTTTACCACCAGATTTTTGATGTCTTCTGAGGTGATTGGCTTGCCATTCTTGTCAATTGCACCCTCAGCCACAATGATGATGTTCAGACGAGAACCTCGGGTCCTTGTCTCACTGAGTCGGTGACAAAGGTGTTCCTCCCAGTCATCATCTGGTGGACATTCAGGAATAAAAACCCAGTTGGCCCCACAGGAGAGAGAGGTAACAGGGGCTAGGTATCCACAGTGGTGGCCCATCACTTCTAACACAAATGTCCTCTGGTGGCTCTGGGCAGTGGTGGTGATGGCATCTACAATTTCTATGATCCGGTGCAGAGCAGAATCAGTACCAATGGTCATATCAGTGCCGCAGAAGTCATTGTCAATTGAGCCAACCAAGCCCACGATGTTCAGGTAGCTGGATTTCTTAGCCTCCTCATCTGTGATCTTACCTGCTTTCTGGAGGTCACTCAACAAGTCACTCCACTCTGAACGGAAGGTGTCAGCCCCGGTGAGGCTGCCATCACCCCCCGATGACACACAGATTGGTGATCCCACGCTTCACCAGGTTATATGCAGCTCGGAGTCGTCCTTCTCGTTCCCGAAAGTCCTTGCACTGGGCACTTCCAATCACCGTGCCTCCCAGCTGAAGCATCATGGAAACGCTCTCCCAGGTGGCTTCCCTGATGTGATCTTCCCCATCCACCAGGCCTTGATAACCCTCATGGACAAAGAAGACATGGGCACCAGTAAAGATACCAACTCGAACCACAGCCCTGACAGCAGCATTCATTCCTTGGGCATCTCCACCAGAGGTTAACACAGCAATGGCTTTGCAGATCCCCAGAGTTTTGGCTGCATGGTGCTCTTCATGGGTCATGATCCACTCTTTTAGTCTTAGCTCTCCCCGGCAGCAGCTTTCTTGCAGATTCTATTCTAATTTCTTATGGTATAAAGTTAGGTTGTTTATTTGAGAACTTTCATTTTTCTTGATGTAGGCATTTAATCCTCTAAATTTCCCTCTTAAAATGTTTTTCCTACATTCCGTTACTTTGGGTATATTGTGCTACCATCTTTATGTGTCTCAAGATATTTTTAAATTTCACGTTTGATATCTTCTTTAACCATGGGTTGCTCAGGATTGTGTTGATTCCACATACTCATTAATTTTCCAGTTTTCCCCTGTTATTGATTTCTAGTTTCATACTATTATGCTTAGAAAAGATACTTGATATGATTTCAATATTCTTAAATTTGTTAAGGCTTGTTCTGTGGCCTAACATATGAACTATTCTGGAGAATGTTCCGTATGCACTTGAGAATAATGTATATTCTGCTGCTGTTCAATAGAATGTTCTATATAGTATATGTGTTAGACATATCTGTCTATAGTGTCATTTGAGTTCAATGTTTCCTTATTAATTTTCTGTCTGTATGATCTATCAGTTGTTGAAAGCAGGACATTGAAGCACCCTGATATTATTGTACTGTTGTTCATTTCTCTCTTCAGATCTGTTAATATCCACTTTATACATTTAGGTGCTCTGGTTTTGGGTGCATATATATTTATACTTGTTATATCTTACTCCATTAGTCTTATTCTGTGCCCCCAGGCGATAGTGCCATGGCATTAACCTAATTCATAGCAACCTCAAACTCCTGGGCTCAACAAATCCTCTTGCCTCAACGTCCAGAGTAGATAGGATTATAGCTACATGACCAGCTGCCACAATGCCCAGCTAATATTTCTAGTTTTTGTAGAGATGGGGTCTGGGTCTTGCTCTTGCTCAGGCTGGTCTTGAACTCCTGAGCTCAAGTGATCCTCCCACCTCAGCCTCCCAGAGTGCTAGGATTATAGACATGAGCCGCTGTGCTTGATCTATCATACCCTCTCGATGAATTGACCCTTTATCATTATATAATGACCTTCTTTGTCTCTT